GGGGGAGTCAAGAGGATTAGGGGGTTGGGGCCCCCCCCCCCCCCCCACGAGGAAAGGCCGGAGAGCCTGGGACTTTTCCGTTTAGAAAAGGGACGACTAACTGGGGGACATGATAGAGGTTTATAAAGTTAAGCACAGGGTGGAGAAAGTTGGCAAAGGGAACTCTTTCTTTCTCTCCCAAGAGACTAGAACTTGAGGGCATCCAGTGAAGCTGATGGGCAGTAGGATCAGGACGGACAAAAGGAAAGACTACTTCACAGAGAGAGTGATTAATATGTGGGACTCACTGCCGGGATGCTTTTAAAAGGGGATTAGACAGATTCATGGAGGAGAGGTTTATCAGCGTCTACTAGCCATGGTGGCTGAGGAGAACCTCTGCATTCAGAGGCAGTCAGCCTCTGGATCCCTGTGCCAGGAGGCAATGTCAGGGGAAGGCCTCTTGGCCTCTCTGCCCTGTTGTTGGCCCTCCAGAGGAACTGGTTGAGGCTACAGTGTGAGGCAGGATGCTGGACTAGATGGACCCTCACTGGTTGGATCCCTGTGCCAGGAGTCATCGTCACAGGAGAAGGCCTCGGTCTCTCTGCCCTGTTGTCGGCCCTCCAGAGGAACTGGTTGAGGCTACAGTGTGAGGCAGGATGCTGGACTAGATGGACCCACACTAGCCTGATCCAGCAGGGCTCTTCTGATGTTCTTACCAGGGGAAGGCCTCGGTCTCTCTGCCCTGTTGTCGGCCCTCCAGAGGAACTGGTTGAGGCTACAGTGTGAGGCAGGATGCTGGACTAGATGGACCCACACTAGCCTGATCCAGCAGGGCTCTTCTGATGTTCTTACCAGGGGAAGGCCTCGGTCTCTCTGCCCTGTTGTCGGCCCTCCAGAGGACCTGGTTGTTTGCCGTGTGAGATGGCATGCTGGGCTAGATGGACCACTGGTACTGCCTGGCAACCCTAGTCACATGGGATACAATAACGAGCTGTTCAGGATCTCTCTGCCTAATCACGTCCCCCCTCCCTCTCCCTCTCTCTTCAGTTTGGTGTAGTGGTTAAGTGCACGGACTCAAATCTGGGAGGACCGGGTTTGACTCCCCACTCCTCCACTTGCACCTGCTGGATGACCTTGGGCAAGCCCTAGTTCTGATAAGAGCTGTTCTCTCAAGGGCAGTTTCTGTCAAGAGCTCTCTCAGCCCCACCTACCTCACAGGGTGTCTGTTGTGGGGAGGGGAAGGGAAAGGAGCTTGTAAGCCGCTCTGAGACTCCTTTGGGTAGTGAAGGGCGGGGTATAAATCCAATCTCTTCTTCTTCTTCTCTTCAAGTGTACAATCGGCCGGTCGAGGAAGCGTCTCTGGAATTTCTGCTGACTGACTACGACGTCATCTACGGGCGGCGCAAGCAGCTGGAACTGGACATCCAGGCCGCCTTCCTTCGGTTCATGGCCTGCCTCCTGAAGGGTTACCGCACCTACCTCCGGCCCATCACCCAGGCACCCTCCGAGAAGACCCGCGACTCCAGCAACCTCTTCTACCTCCAGGGTACGGCGAGCTGCTCTCTTAGCTGCAGGGACGATGGCGGCCTCTGGAGAGCACCGTTTCTTCTTTGCGCAAGTGGGAGGTTGGCCCTTTTCCACCTCTGTGTATTGGAGCAGGGCGGGCCTTGCAGTTTTCTGCCTTGTAACAATAACTGTAGCAAAATGCCACTGGGCTGTGGCCGCCGCTCAGTGATAGAGCCTTTGCTTGGCATGCAGAAGGTCCCGGGTTCAATCCTTGGCATCTCTGGTGGAAAAGATTAGGTAATAGGTGACGTGAAAGACCTCTACCTGAGACCCCGGAGAACCTGTAGGGTTATGAAGGTAGAACATGAACAGAGGGGGTTGGCCGTCGCCTGTCTCTGCGTAGCGGCCCTGGTCTGCCTCAGTAGTCTCCCATCCAAGGACTAACCAGGACTGACACTGCTTAGCTTCTGAGATCACATGAGATCGGGTTAGCCTGGGCTATTCAGGCTAATTTTTTACAGCATCTAGAATTGCTCTCTACAGAACAAAAGAAGTCATGTTAGACCAGGCCAATGGCCCATCCAGCCCAACACTCTGTGTCACCCAGTGGCCAAAACCCAGGTGCCGTCAGGAGGTCCACCAACAGGGCCAGAACTCCAGAAGCCCTCCCACTCTTGCCCCCCCCCAAGTACCAAGAATACAGAGCATCACTGCCCCAGAGATAAGAACATAAGAGAAGCCATGTTGGATCAGGCCAGTGGCCCATCCAGTCCAACACTCTGTGTCACACAGTGGCCAAAACCCAGGTGCCATCAGGAGGTCCACCAACAGGGCCAGAACTCCAGAAGCCCTCCCACTCTTGCCCCCCCCCAAGTACCAAGAATACAGAGCATCACTGCCCCAGACAGAGTATTCCATCTAGACCTTGTGGCTAATAGCCACTGGTGGACTTCGTGGTGTGGAGCAGGGGTGAGTGTGGGTGTGTGCGGGGGAGGTAGTTGTGAATGTCCTGCATTGTGCAGGGCGTTGGGCTAGATGACCCTGGAAGGTCCCTTCCAACTCCTGTGATTCTGTGACTTCTGCTCCAGATGTTGATCCAATCCCCTCTTGCAGTTGTCTATGCCTATAGCCGCCGCCACTTCCTGTGGCAGCGAATCCCAGGCGTCCATTGCTCTTTGGGTGAAGAAGGACTTCCTTTGATCTGTTCTCAGCCTACGGCTCCTTAATTTCATGGAGTGCCTACAGGTTCTTGTATTGTGGGAAAAAGAGAAAAGGACTCCTGTCTCTACCTTCTCTGTCCTATGCAGAACCCACAAAGGATCAGACCACTGGTCTGTCAGGGTCAGTATTATCTGTTCTGACTGGCACAGACTCTCCAGGGACTCTGGTGGAGGTCTTTCACATCACCTCACCCCGGTCCCTTTTTAAACAGCCAGGGATGGCTGCACCTCCAAATGGAATTCCGCATCGTCAGGGCTTTTTTTGTAGAAAAAGCCCAGCAGGAACGCATTAGCATAATAGGCCACACTGAACAGCAGAAACTCATTAGCATACTAGGCCTCACCCCTGACACCACAGTTCATTGTCATATTAGGCCACTCCCCCACGTTACCAGAAGTGTGGTCATCCAGCCACACCCACCTTTTGCTTCTTATTCTGTTGACCTTGTTTGTTGTCCAAACCCAGGGCCTTTTTTTGTAGCAGGAACTCCTTTGCATGTTAGGCCACACACCTCTAATGTAGCCAATCCTAATGAGTTTCTGCTGTTGGGCGTGGCCTATTATGCTAATGCATATTCCTGCTGGGCGTGGCCAACTTGGGAGCCAGCCGGAACTCCGTTCCTGTGCGTTCCTGCCCAAAAATAGCCCTGCGCATCGTCAAGGATGTGGCTTATAAATCCGAGGGCTTTCATATCCGGCGTTCCTTGATCTGGACGTAGCAAGACGCCTGTCACGGCTCCTCCCCGTGTGTCCCCCACAGGCTTCCTGAAATCGAGAGACCGGGCCTACCACAAGTTCTACGGACAGCTCCTGCGCACCCAGCTCTTCACGCAGTTCATTGAGGAATGCTCGTTCGTCAGCGACCGACATACCTCTCTGGAGTTCTTCGACTCCTGCGTTGAAAAGGTAACCAGGAAAGGGCCTCAGGAAAGGGGGGCCGTGTCTGACTAGAGGCAGAGCCGGGGACTTGCTAAGCTGTTACATTTGGAATCAGCGGGAGGAAGCTACTATGGTACCCTAACCCTTATATGGAAGGTTTCCAGAAAGAAATGTTTTGCCTTTCAGGAAAACATTGAAATACATCCACAACTTACGTAGCCAGTTTGGTGTAATGGTTAAGAGCGGCGGACTCGTAATCTGGGAGAACCGGGTTTGATTCCCCACTCCTCCACATGCAGCTGCTGGGTGACCTTGGGCAAGCCATAGTTCTGTCAGAGCTGTCCTTGAAAGGGCAGCACTTGAAAGAGCTCCCTCAGGCCCACCTACCTCACAGGGTGTCTGTTGTGGGGAGGTGAAGGAAAAGGAGTTTGTACGCTGCTCTGAGACTCCTTTGGGTTGTGAAGGGCGGGGTATAATTCCAATCTCCTCGTCGTCCTCCTCCTCCTCCTCTTCTAAAAGGGGTAACCTCCTCCTCCTCCTCTTCTTCCTCTTCTTCCTCTTCTTCCTCTTCTTCCTCTTCTTCTTCTTCTGAGCCAGTTTGGTGTAGTGGTTAAGTGCATGGACTCTAATCTGGGAGAACCGGATTTGATTCCCCACTCCTCCACTTGCACCTGGCTGGATGACCTTGGGCAAGGCGTAGCTCTGGCACAGCTGTTCTTGAAAAAGAGCAGTTTCTGTCAAGAGCTCTCTCAGCCCCACCTGCTGAGTTATAATAATAACAATAATAGTTGGATTTATACCCCCCTCGTTCACTTGGAGTCTCAGAGCAGTTTACAATCTCCTTTCACTTCCTCTCCCCACAACAGACACCCTGTGAGGTAAAAGAAGAAGAGGAGGAGATTGGATTTATACCCCACCCTTCACTACCCAAAGGAGTCTCAGAGCGGCTTACAATCTCCTTTCCCTTCCTTTCCCCACAACAGACACCCTGTGAGGCAGGCGGGGCTGAGAGAGCTCTGAGAGAACTGCTCCTGAGAGAACAGCTCTGAGAGAGCTGTGACTGACCCCAGGTCACCCAGATGGCTGCATTTGGAGGAGTGGAGAATCAAACCCAGTTCTCTCAGATTAGAGTCCATGCTCTTAACCACTGCACCACTCTGGCTTTCTCCCTAGTTTCTAGCCCAGGACATTGGGTGATGGTGACATCCAATCAGAACACGTCTCCAAGAGAACTCTCTGGAATATTACCTCACCACTCTCAATCTGCCCTACCCATATCACAGATGACACATTCCCCTGAGAACCCAAGTACCCGGCTCCCACCCTTGGCCTTCAAGATATCAAGAGATATGCAGGCCAAAACTGATGAACAGCACCTGCAAGACAGCTCAGGCCCAATACCATCCGTCTTCACCCTTGAGGCGAAATGGGGGAGGGGGTGGAGGAAGGTGTTGTGCCTCACAGACACTTTACCTTACTACACCTGAACTTATTTTACTGCTCTCACATAAAATGCATCATAGGATGATTAGCATATAAAGGTGTAATTTTGGGCACCGTCACGAAATGTGAAAGCTTTAGTTCTCCAGAAGCAAAAACTGCAACTACAAGATACCAGAGAGCTGTTGTGGTGTAGAGGATAAGGCAGGGGTGTCAGCCATGTGGCCCGAGGGCCGGATGAGGCCCCCGGAGGGCTTCTGTCAGGCCCGCAGTGGAACTGGCTCTCTTCTGCTTCTTCTTCCAGTTCTGCTGCTGCTGCCACGTCATCGTAGGTTTGCAGCTGACAGATACACACCTGAACAGCCATATTCAAGATTGCAACAGCACAGACATTTTGATGCAATAATTCAGAGCAAGAGGTGTCAGTTATCAGACACTGTTAAACACAGGGCTATTTTGGGGCAGGAACGCACAGGAACGGAGTTCCGGCTGGCTTCCAAGTTGGCCATACCCAGCACGAATGAACACACTTCTGGTGACATGGGGGTGTGGCCTAATATGCCAATGAGCTGTGCTGTCGGGGGTGTGGCCTAATATGCTAATGAGTTTCTGTTGTGGGTGTGGCCTATTATGCTAATGAGTTCTTGCTGGGCTTTTTCTACAAAAAAAGCCCTGGTTAAACAAAAATATTGCAAGAGTGCTCATGTTTTAAGCATGTTTTTATTTTAAGTAAAAACAACCCTTTGCGTTTGTGTCCTTTATAAAGTTTATATCTCCGCTACCTGGCATTAAATTTTATGACACACACGACCCGGCCCAACAAAGTCTCATTTATGTCAGATCCGGCCCTCAGAACAAATGAGTTCGACACCCCTGGGATAAGGTGTCGGGCTAGGATCTTGGAGACCCAGGTTCAAATTCCCGCTCTGCCGTGGAAGACCACTGGGTGCCCTTGGGCCAGTCACACCCACTCAGCCTAACCTACCTCACAGGGTTGACGTGAGTCTAAAATGGAGGAGAGGAGAAGACCGTAAGCCGCTTTGGTAAATACCCAGAATCCTTGGCTGCTGAATCTATCTCCCCCCCCCCACCAGCCTTTGTCAGGCAATTTGCAGCTGCTTCTTCCAGCCAGGCTAAATGTCCGGTGGGCGGTGCCATTCCTGGGTCCTTCCCCCTCACTCTCTGCATGGCATCTTTGTATTCTTCCCCACTCAGGTGCAGGTGGATCTCGAGAAGCCGGAAGAATCTCCCCTGATGGAACTGGACGACTCCCACGGCAGCGAGCACACAGTGTTCATCATGCCCCCTGAGGAGCCAACGGCGCCCGACGGGTCTGAGCTGCTCCCGCGCTACAAGTGAGTTGCGGTGCTGTCACACTCTAGCTGTCACCTCTCTGTGTCTCTCTTCTCCCCGGGCCAGGAGCTCTCCAGCTGTGGTTTTTGAGTTCCTGTAAAAGGGGCAGTGAACCTCTCCTAGAGGATCTGTAATGGTAGGTGGGTACCTGGATGGATAAGAAAGAAGCCTGATAAAGGGCCAATATTGGAAGAAGAAGAGAAGAAGAAGAGATTGGATTTATACCCCGCCCTTCACTACCCAAAGGAGTCTCAGAGCGGCTTACAAACTCCTTTTCCCTTCCCCTTCCCACAACAGACACCCTGTGAAGTAGGTGGGGCTGGGAGAGCTCTGAGAGAAACTGCTCTTTTTCCAAGAACAGCTCCGACAGAACTATGGCTTGCCCAAGGTCATCCAGCAGCTGCAAGTGGAGGAGTGGGGAATCAAACCCGGTTCCCCAAGTTAGAGTCCACGCACTTAACCACTACACCAAAGGAAGAAACTTCCTGACAGAGCAGTTCCTTGGTGGAACAGGCTTCCTTGGGAGTTGGTGGGCTCTCCTGCTTTGGAGGTTTTCAAGCAGAGGCTCTAGATGGAAGGTCTAGATGGAACACTCTGTCTGGGGCAGGGATGATCTGTGTTCTTGGTGCTGGGGTGGGGGGGACACTGGGAGGGCTTCTGGTGGCACCTGGTGTTTTTGGCCACTGTGTGACACAGAGTGTTGGACTGGATGGGCCATTGGCCCGATCCAACGAGGCTTCTCTTATGTTCTTCCTGTCTTCCTCTCCCCCAGGTACGATGGTTTCCCCGTGCTCCAGGCCAAGCTCTTTGAGCGCCCCCAGGACCAGCTGATGCCCTCGCTCTGCCAGGCTCGGAGCAGCGCCCCCAGCAGCCCGGCACCACGCAGGACCAAACAGGTAAAAGGGCTGGCGCACGAGCACAGGAGGGGTGCATCGTTGCAGGGTGGGGGAACCCGCGGGTGGCTGTTCAGCTGGTGCTTCCCGGGTCTTGCTCTCTGTAAGCTGCATGTTTGGTGTAGTGGTTAAGTGCGCGGACTCTAATCTGGGAGAACCGGGTTTGATTCCCCACTCCTCCACATGCACCTGGCTGGATGACCTTGGGTCCGTCACAAGTTCTCTCAGAGCTGTTCTCTCACGAGCAGTCCTTGAAAGAGCTCTCTCAGCCCCACATACCTCGCAGGGTGTCTGTTGTGGGGAGCGGAAAGGGAAAGGAGATTGTGAGCCACTCTGAGACTCCTTTGGGTAGTGAAGGGCGGGGTATAAATCCAGTCTCTTATTTTAAATGTTATTGGTCTTAGAGAGAGAGAAGAGGAGATTGGATTTATATCCTGCCCTTCACTACCCAAAGGTGTCTCAGAGAGGCTTACAAACTCCTTTCCCTCCCCCTCCCCACAACAGACATCCTGTGAGCAGTGTTCCCTCTAAGCTGAGTTAGTGTGAGCTAGCTCACAGTTTTTAAGCTTCCGGCTCACACATTTTTGCCTTAGCTCAGGAAGGATGGCTCCAGAGCAAACTGATTTATGCAGCAGACAAAGCGCTTGCTCGCCACTGTAATGCCAGTAGCTCATAAAGTAGAATTTTTGCTCACAGGACTCCACAGCTTAGAGGGAACATTGCCTGTGAGGTAGGTGGGGCCAAGAGAGCTCTTGACAGAAACTGCTCTTTTTCAAGAACAGCTCTGACAGAGCTATGGCTTGCCCAAGGTCATCCAGCCAGGTGCCACTGGACTCAAACTTTATGCATTAAAAACATGATTTAAAATCAGTAATTCAGAACTGCCAGTAAGCAGAAGAAGTAATCAAGTCCCTTCGTGTATAAAACTGTCTTCAGCTGTCGCCTAAAAACTGACAGTGAGGGGACCAGGTTCACTTCCCTGGGGAGCTGTTCCGTAATTGTGGGGCTGCCACTGGAAAGGCCCTTTCTCATATACCCAACAGATGAGCGTCTTTGGTCGATGGGACAGTCAGGAGGGCTTCCCAGGCTGGAATGTATGGGAGAAAACAGTCCTTCAGATACTCCAGTTCCGATCCATGTGGGGCTTTAAAGAGCAAACCAGCATCTTGAATTGGAATCAGGAGTAGATCAGTATTCATTTATTCATTCATTCATTCATTCATTCGGATTTCTAGCCAGCAGGGCTCAGGGCGGGTTACAACAACACATATATACAACTAATTTAGTGGGCAGTGTAATTGCCATTGCCTGTGTCTGCATAGCAACCAGGGACTTCCAGCAGTCTCGTCATAGCATTCTATACTAGCTGTGGCTTCTGGACACTCTTCAAGGGTAGCCCCATGTAGAGTGCATTGCAGTAGTCCAGTCTCGAAGTAACTAAAGCTGACTCCTTCCTTCTCTGCTCATGTAATGGGGAGCCTCGTGGTGGAACAAGAACTAGTTCAGATGATATATCCCGTCGATCTCTTTCTCTCCAGGAAATGAAGGTAGCCCAGCGGGTGGCCCAGAAGTACTCATCGGTGCCGGACATGTGGGCCAAATGCCTCCTGGGGCACTGCTACGGCCTGTGGTTCATCGCTCTGCCAACCTACGTGCGTGGTGCAGCCTCCAAGGTGCGGGCCCTGCAGACGGCGTACGAGGTGCTCAAGCAAATGGAGACCAAGAAGGTGGTGCTGCCGGATGAGGTAACGGGTGATCCGCACAGCTTTGTTTCTCCGCGCCCAACCCGGTTCTTTAATCCTCCCCGTCTCTTGAGAGCCAGTGTGGTATAGTGGGTAGAGTGGCAGACTGTGACTCTGGGTCTGAATTCCCACTTCTGCTGTGGAAGCTGTCTGGGTGACCTCGTGCCTATTGCAAACTCTCAGTCTAGCCTCCCTCGCAGGGTTGTTGTGAGAGCACAGAGAAGGGGAGAGCCAGTTTGGCGTAGTGGTTAGGAGCGCGGACTCTAATCTGGGAAAACCGGGGTTGATGCCCCACTCCCTCCACATGCAGCTGCTGGTGTGACTTTGGGTCAGTCACAAATTCTCTCAGAGCTGTTCTCCCAAGGGCAGTCCTCAGGAGGGGAAAGGAGATTGTAAGCCGCTCTGAGATTCCTTTGGGTAGTGAAGGGCGGGGTATACATCCAATCTCCTCCTCCTTTTTTGGGTCCCGACTGTGGGGAGAAAAGTGGGCTATAAATGAATAAAGGTAAAGGTTCCCTTGCTCGAAAGCCAGTCAAGTCCGACTCTAGGGTTGCGGTGCTCATCTCCATTTCCAAGCCGAAGAGCCAGCGCTGTCCGAAGACATTTCCGTGGTCATATGGCCGGCATGACTAAGCACCAAGGCGCACGGAATGCTGTTACCTTCCCACCGAAGTGGTCCCTATTTATCTACTTGCAATTTCTTGGTTTCGAACTGCTAAGTTGGCAGGAGCTGGAACTAGAGACGGGAGCTCACTCCGTCTTGTGGCACCTGGGTCTCGAACTGCTGAACTACCGACCTTCCACAGCCTGCAGTTCAGCTTCTTAACCACTTGAGCCACGTCCGCAGCTCCTTTATAAATGAATAAATGTATGCAAAAAGTAAAAGCAAATGCATATTTCCCCTATAACAGAGAGGACTGCCATTCTTCCTAAAGCAGGGGCTCTCCGATTGTGGGTCGGGTGCTGAAAGTGGGGCATACCTTCTTCGCCGATGGGTCGTGAGGCCAGGAAGGGACGGGGGAGGGGGGCCAGGTTCATCAGATCTTGGAAGCTAAGCAGGGTCGGCCCTGGTCATTACTTGGATGGGAGACAGGGTCGCCGATGGGTCGTGAGGCTGGGGGGTCTAGGGTCCATTCCGGGGTCTTTTGGCTTGTGGGTCGCGATGACTTCACCCAGAAGAGGCGTCATCATGTCATCATTGGGGGGGGGGGGGGGGGGGTTGACACTCTAGTTTTTGGGCAAAACTCTATGGTTTGAGCCCAGTTTTACCATAGAGTGTTGCCCAAAAACTAGAGCGTCACCCCCCCAAGGTTGTGACGCAGAGGGAGGCAATGGCAAATCACCTCTCAACATCTCTTGCATTGTAAACCCTATAAGGAGTATTATGTGGCTCAGTGGAAGAGCCCCTGCTTGGCATACAGAAGGTCCCTTGTTCAATCCCTGGCATATCCAGTTAAAAGGACCAGGCAGTAGGCGATGTGAAAGACCTCCGCCTGAGACCCTGGTGAGACTTAGAGAGGGGCTGTGGCTCAGTGGAAGAGCCCCTGCTTTGCATACAGAAGGTCCCCAGTTCAATTCCAGGTGTCTCCAGGTAAAAGGACCAGGCAGGAGTTGATGTGAAGAGGTGATGGGGAAGACCTCCGCCTGAGACCCCGGAGAGCTGCTGCCAGTCTGAGCAGACAATACTGACTTTGATGGACCGAGGGTCCGGTTCAGTACGGGGCAGCTTCGTGCGTCTGTGTGAGTCGCCATACGTTGGCTGCATCTTGAAAGCATGTGTTTGTGTGATATGTAGCCACACAGTACAGCCAGTTGCTCAGTAATACTGCACATTAATAAATGTTCAGTGTGAAAAATGAAACAGGAGCCATGCTGGCCTGCGGTGAAGCCCTTGAGTTTTGCATTGGAGAGGTGAAAACGAGCACAGAGTTACTTTGGAAGCAGGTCCTGGAAAATGTAGTAAATTTTAGACGTGAATTCCAGATTAGATAGGTAAAGGTAAAGGTTCCCTTGCTCGAAAGCCAGTCGAATCCGACTCTAGGGTTGCGGTGCTCATCTCTGTTTCAAAGCCAAAGAGCCAGCGCTGTCCGAAGACGTTTCTGTGGTCATGTGGCCCGCATGACTAAACACCAAGGCGCACGGAACGCTGTTCCCTTCACACCCCTATTTATCTACTTGTAATTTCTTGCTTTCGAACTGCTAGGTTGGCAGGAGCTGGAACTAGAGACGGGAGCTCACTCCGTCTTGCGGCACCCAGGTCTCGAACTGCTGAACTACTGACCTTCCACAGCCTGCAGTTCAGCGTCTTAACCACTTGAGCCACCGCAGCTCCTCCAGATTAGATAGGCCTTGATAAATTCCTTCCGTGACCCTCACGAAACTTCAATGCCCAAGGTTTCTGATGTGGTGAAATTGGTTCCTTGGCTTTGATGGGCTAGACATTCACCGACCCATTCATCCCCTGCCCCTCCTCTTCCAGGTTTGCTACCGGATCCTGATGCAGCTGTGTGGGCAGTACGGCGAGCCCGTCCTCTCCGTGCGGGTCCTGCTAGAGATGAAACGAGCTGGCATTGTGCCCAACACCATCACCTATGGTTACTACAACAAGGTAAATCAGCACTCAGTGTTCACCTGGAAAGGAGTGGGTTGGATTCCCGAAGAATGCCCCTGCTTGTTTCCCTACCCTGGTCTCAAGAGCCTTTCTTGACACAAGGGGCTCTTGCATCAGAGCAGGCCCGTAGCTCCAATGGGGCTTTTGGGGGCTCTCCGTAGCCCCACAAGAATTTCTCTGGGAAATGCTTTTTCCAATCACTTGTAAACATTTTTTTAAAAGTGTGTGCTCCTTTAAGCCGATTAGGGTGCTGTAGTTGACAGATTCCCGCACTGAGCAAGGGGGTTGGAGTAGGTGACCTCTAGGGTCCCTTCTAACTCTGTGCCAAGATACTAATCTCCTTGAAGAGTCTTTCTGCTTGAGTGTGAGCTTTCTTGACTACAGAAGTCATCACACACACACACCACCTGCCGGCTTATTCTCAGAATCGTTGCTTAGCCCGGCAGAAGTGATTAACTTGCAGCCGCTGAGAACTGTCATCTAAAGTGGTTGACAGCCTGCAGTTTAGAGATCTATCCTGGTCACACCTTTCTGTTGGCTAAATGGCTTTTCTTTCTGCGATGAGAACTTCAGCCCCACCAGGGCTCTTTTTGTAGAAAAAGCCCAGGAGGAACTCATTAGCATAATAGACCACACCCAACAGCAGAAACTCATTAGCATATTAGGCCACACCCCTGACAGCACAGCTCATTAGCACATTAGGCTGCACCCCCATGTTACTAGAAGTGTGGTCATCCAGCCACACCCACCTTTTGCTTCTTATTCTGTTTATCTTGTTTGTTGTCAAAACCCAGGGCTTTTTTGTAGCAGGAACTCCTTTGCATCTTAGGCCACACACCCCTAATGTAGCCAATCCTAATGGGTTTCTGCTATTGGGTGTGGCCTATCATGCTAATGAGTTCCTGCTGGGCGTGGCCAACTCAGGAGCCAGCCGGAACTCCGTTCCTGTGCGTTCCTGCCCAAAAATAGCCCTGAGCCCCACCAGGAAAAAATTTGCCCCACAAGCCATAGAATCCTGGCTATGGGCCTGCATCAGAGGAAGGTGCCCTCCACCACAGGAAAGCGCTGATGCTAGTGGAATGAATCAGCAAGATCTGACCGAAGCTCTTCAACATTCCCTCCCCTGGAATGGCACAGTGTCCTATCCCTACCTCACCCCCACCCTAGCCTTACCAGTGTGTGAACCTATCAGTTCACTCTGGTCATCTTTGGAGACCCTGCTTTGGTCACCACCACCATCTTGAGGCTGCACGGGTGGCTACCCGAGAAAGGGCCTTCTCGGTCGCGGCACCAAACTTTGGAACTCCCTCCCAGGGAGATTCATCTGTCTTCCACGAGCGGGTGAAGACCTCTTTGTTTTTTGGCATTCCCTCAGTAATGGTTATTGGCCCTGTCATGCTGGGGGAGAGCCAGTTTGGTGTAGTGGTTAAGGGCATAGGCTCTAATCTGAGAGAACCGGGTTTGATTGCCCCACTCCCCCCACATGCAGCTGTCAGTGTCAGTCACAAGTTCTCTCAGAGCTGTTCTCTCATGAGCGGTCCTCGAAAGGGCTCTCTCAGTCCCACCTACCTCACAGGGTGTCTGTGATGGGGAGGGGAATGGAAAGGAGCTTGTAAGCCGCTCTGAGACTCCAAGTGAAGGGCGGGGTATAAATTCAATCTCTTCTTCTTCAAGGGCAGTTTCTGTCAAGAGCTCTCTCAGCCCCTCCTACCTCACAGGGTGTCTGTTGTGGGGAAGGGAAGGGAAAGGGGTTTGTAAGCTGCTCTGAGACACCTTTGGGTAGTGAAGGGCAGGGTATAAATCCAATCTCTTCTTCTTCAAGAGCAGTTTCTGTCAAGAGCTCTCTCGGCCCCACCTACCTCACAGGGTGCCTGTTGTGGGGAGGGGAAGGGAAAGGAGATTGTAAGCCGCTCTGAGACTCTTAAGTGAAGGGCGGGGTATAAATCCAATCTCTTCTTCTTCTTGTCTCTGGCTCCAATATAGTGTGTTTCTATTGGTTTTCAACAGAATTATTTTATAATTGTAAGTGTTGTTTTTAATTGTTCAAATATTTTAATGTTTGCTGAACCTGATCGGGTGAAAAAGCAGCTTAAAAATAGAAAAAAAAATACTTTAAATAAAATAAACTTTGTGAAGAAGGGAGCAGTGACTCATGAAAGCTCCTCCCTTGCTACAAATTTTGTTAGTCCTTAAGGTGCTCATTGGTCTCTTGCTCTTTTCTGCTGCTGCAGACAGGCAAACGCAGCTACCCGTCTTAAATAAAATAAGTAAACAATCATAAATCGCTCCAAGCGGGCATGCTCAGAGCTTGTGCTTTGTCTGTGCGCTCCAGAACAAACAGCCAGAGCTCGGGCAGCGGCAGTCTGCCATAAAAAATGTACCTGCCCCTTTGAACCCAAAGAAATCCCCTCAGGACTTATTGTCATTCCTCTCCTGGTGGCAGAACAGTCAGCTTCTTCCTTCTCGCACACAGACATTTTGCTTGGGAGGTCTCCAGACTGTATAAACCCAGGGCTTTTTTTTGTAGAAAAAGCCCAGCAGGAACTCATTAGCATATTAGGCCACACCCATGACAGCACAGCTCATTAGCATATTAGGCCACACCCCTGTGTTACCAGAAGTGTGGTAACCAGAGGTTACCATAAGCCACACCCACCTTTTGCTTCTTATTCTGTTTACCTTGTTTGTTGTCAAAACCCAGGGCCTTTTTTTGGAACAGGAACTCCTTTGTATGTTAGGTCACACACCCCTCATGTAGCCAATCCTAATGAGTTTCTGCTGTTGGGTGTGGCCTATTATGCTAATGAGTTCCTGCTGGGCGTGGCCAACTTGGGAGCCAGCCGGAACTCCGTTCCTGTGCGTTCCTGCCCAAAAACAGCCCTGTATAAACCGATCCTGAAAGAACAGTATTTAAATAGCCTCCCGTTACGTTGTAGTAGTTTTATTTTGTGCGTGTGTGTGTGTTTCTATAAAAGTCCTCTTCTCGCCGTCTTCTTTTTCTCTATCTCCATCCTCTTCTCCTCCACCCCAACACACACTTCAGGCCATTTTGGAGAGCAAGTGGCCCTCGAGTACTCAGGGGGGCCGTCTCCGCTGGGCCAAATTACGCAACGTCGTGCTGGGGGCGGCCCAGTTCCGGCAGCCGCTGCGCCTACGCCAGCGAGACATGGAAGTACAGAGCATCAGCAGCCAGTCAGGTATGTGGGAAGGGCTTGGACGGGGCCTGAACATAAGAACATAAGAGACGCCAATGTTGGATCAGGCCAAAGGCCCATCCAGTCCAACACTCTGGGTCACACAGTGGCCAGAAATACCAGGTGCCATCAGGAGGTCCAGCAGCGGGGCCAGGACATTAGAAGCCCCCCCCCATTGTTGCCCCCCCAAGCACCAAGAAGAAAGAGCATCCCTTGCCCCAGACTGAGAGTTCCTATCTATACCTTGTGGCTCATAGCCACTGATGGGCCTCTGCTCCATATAAGAACATAAGAGACGCCAATGTTGGATCAGGCCAAAGACCCATCCAGTCCAACACTCTGTCACACGGTGGCCAAAAATACCAGGTGCCATCAGGAGGTCCAGCAGCGGGGCCAGGACACTAGAAGTCCTCCCATTCTTGCCTCCCCCCAAGCACCAAGAATACAGAGCATCACTTGCCCCAGACTGAGAGTTCTTATCTATACCTTTGGCTAATGGCCACTGATGGGCTTCTGCTCCATATAAGAACATAAGAGACGCCAATGTTGGATCAGGCCAAAGGCCCATCCAGTCCAACACTCTGTCACACAGTGGCCAGAAATACCAGGTGCCATCAGGAGGTCCACCAGTGGGGCCAGGACACTAGAAGCCCTCCCACTGTTGACCCCCCCCCCCAGCACCAAGAAGACAGAGCATCACTTGCCCCAGAGCCCCTATCTATACCTTGTGGCTAATAGCCACTGATGGACCTCTGCTCCATATGCCTATCTAATTCCCTTTTGAAGCCTGCTACTAACATGTTTTATTGGAGCAGGGGTGGTCAAACTGTGGCTCAGGAACCGCATGCGGCTCTTTCACACATACCGTGCGGCTCCCGGCAGGGCGGCTGGGGAAGCGAAATATCATTAGCGAACAACTATCATTGGACAAATAAACAGAATGATCAATATCTGCTTTGACCCCTTTTGTTATTACTTTTGGCAGTCTCATTTAATGTTAATAGAAAGCATATTTGCATATTTTCCAATAAAAATACGGAATATTTGTTCATGTCTTGCGGCTCTCAAACATCTGATGTAAACAATGTTCCCTCTAAACGGTGGAGCTACTGGCATTCAAGCTAAGAGCGAGCGGTTTGGCTGCTGCATAAACTAGTTTGCTCCGGAGCCCTCCTTCCTGAGCTAAGGCGAAAATGTGTGAGCCAGAGGCTAAAAAGCTGTGAGCTTGCTCACACTAACTCAGCTTAGAGGGAACACTGCTGATGTTTATTCTATATGGCTCTTACGTTAAGCAAGTTTGGCCTCCCCTGTATTAGAGCTATGAAGAAATCGTTTCACAGGTCAAAGAAGCAGCAACCAGGAAATGGGTCAGCGATAGTCAAGGGTTTTTTTTGTAAAAACTTCTAAGAAGTGTGACCTACATTAAGGACAATCCCTTCAGCCCGGGTTGGAAAGAAGTCACTGAGAGGTCACTGTGGTTGTTGACAAAATGGCGGAATGAGGTCACTGTGGTTTGGTGACAAAATGGCAGAATGAGGCACTGTGGTTGTTGACAAAATGGCGGAATGAGGTCACTGTGGTTGTTGACAAAATGGCGGAATGAGGTCACTGTGGTTTGGTTACAAAATGGCGGCAGGTTACCACGTTGGCTGACAGGCCCCAATAACATGGCCCCTCAAAGTTGGGGGTGGCTGAAAATGGAGTGTTTCCATTTATGTTGGCAGAGAGTGGCAGAGGTGGGAGGGCACTGGCCTCCCGGTCCAGATCCAATCTGCAGCGGCAGACGACGTGGTCCGGGTACAGCTTGCGTGAAAATTTGCCATCGGCATCTCTGGTGAAGAGCGGCAGCCTGAGCTTCCCGCAACATGAGGAGGCCTCGATAGCGGAAGCCGGCATGACCCGCGGTGAGTTTGGGGAGGTGGGTGAAGAAGAGCCACTTTTGCAGAGCCAGTAGATAGCAGCTGGAACGTAGGCAATGTTAACTTCCATTGTGGGAGAAGATAACATAAGAACGTAAGACGAACTGTGCTGGATCAGACCAGTGGTCCATCTAGTCCAGATTCCTGTCTCACACAGTGGCCTCAACCAGCTCCTCTGGAGGGCCAACAACAGGGCAGAGAGGCCGAGGCCTTCCCCTCATAAGAACGTAAAAAGAGCCCTGCTGGGTCAGACCAGTGAGGGTCCCTCTAGTCCAGCATCCTGCCTCACCCAATGGTCTCAACCAGTTCCTCTGGATGGCCAACAAGAGGGCAGAGAGGCTGAGGCCTTCCCCTGATAAGAATGTAAGAAGAGCCCTGCTGGATCAGACCAGTGAGGGTCCCTCTAGTCCAGCATCCTGCCTCACCCAATGGTCTCAACCAGTTCCTCTGGAGGGGCAACAACAGGGCAGAGAGGCCGAGGCCTTCCCCTCATAAGAACATCAGAAGAACCCTGCTGGTTTAGACCAGTAGGCTGAGGCCTTCCCCTGATAAGAATGTAAGAAGAGCCCTGCTGGATCAGACCAGTGAGCGTCCATCTAGTCCAGCATCCTGCCGCACACAGTGGCCTCAACCAGTTCCTCTGGAGGGGCAACAACAGGGCAGAGAGGCCGAGGCCTTCCCCTCATAAGAACATAAAAGCCCTGCTGGATCAGACCAGTGAGGGTCCATCTAGTCCAGCATTCCTGTCTCACACAGTGGCCCCAACCAGTTCCTCTGGAAGTCCAACAACAGGGCAGAGAGGCCGAGGTCTTCTCTTATGTTGCCTCTTAGCTCTGGGATTCAGAAGCTTAGTGCCTCAGAATGTGGAGGTTCCCCTCAGTTTCCACTTTCCACTCAATACCTGCTGTCCTCTCTACCTTCCAGCGACCAAGGTGCTGGACCACAGCAGTGACACGCTCCCCGCTGTGCCCCCCTGGTTACGGGGCCTACAGGACGGGCCTGGGAGCTCCGAGGACGGGAGCCTGTCGGACGTCAGCAGCTTCCTGACGGATGAGAGCGACCGGTTGACCCTGAGTAGTGTGGACGCCCAGTCCGAAGCGGCCAAGTCGGGGCTGAGCCACGCGTCCGAGAACCACGGGAGCGGCACGCCCCGGAGGAGTCTGGCTGCCAAACTGCAGCAGCTGCTGTCTCCCATGAAGCGGCCTTCCCTCAGGCATGCCGCCAGTGTGGAGCGCTCGCAGGCACGCCGCGGGTCCGAGCAGCGCGAGCCCCCGCCTCGCCGCAGCCCCTTGGAGGGGCATTTGCTGCTTCCCCGTGAGCGGCCGGGCTCCACCGCCTCTGAGGTAGGCCTGTGGTAGACGTGGGGGTGCTGTGTGGGGACCTTTTGTCCCATCCCCAGTGGGGGGCAGCTCACCTCCCGTGGCGTTTCTTCCCCAACAGAGCTCCGTATCCCTGGGCAGCGAATACGATCTCTCGGACACCTCCGTGTGCAGTTTCAACCTCCGCAAATCCAATGACCGGCTTTCGGAGTCCCCGGCGGTTGAGGTACGTCGTGGCTGCCTCAGCCTTCCCGTTTCGCCTCTCTCTCCTTTAAAGCTGTCGTTTATGCGGCCGGGAAAGCAGCAACATAGGGAAAAAAGGAAGGCTCCGTCCTGAACAGTGTACAGTCTAAACCAGGGGTCCTGAACCTTTTTGAGTTTGTGGACGCCTTTGGAATTTTGGGCACAGCCACAAAATGGCCGCCACAGGAGGTGGAGCAGTGGGGACCCAAAGCAGGTTACATTGCGCTGCGCTCCTCCATTCCATCCCCACAACAACCCTGTGAAGTAGTTCAGGCTGAGGGCGTACGACTGGCCCACGCTCACCCAGCGAGCTTCCGTGGCAGAGCACGGATTCGAACCTGGGCCTCCCACATCCGAGTCTGACCCTCTAACCACTAACACAGAGAGCCAGTGTGGTGCGGTGGTTAAGAGTGTCGGACTAGTATCTGGGATACCCGGGTTCGAATCCCCACTCTTGCCCTGAGACCAATTACACTCTCTCAGCCTGTCCTACCTCACAGGGTTGTTGTGATGATAAAACAGAGGAAAGGAGGAGGAGGACGTAAGGGTTCCCCACTGGGGAGGAAGGCAGGGCATGAATGAATTAAATAAATGAATACAACCACCAATCCGCTTCTTGTCTTCAAGACAAAACAAGCCGAAGTTGCTGACCCTTCCCTCTGGCTTTCGGAGTCCCTGGCGGTTGAGGTACGTCGTGGCTGCCTCAGCCTTCCCGTTTCGCCTCTCTCTCCTTTAAAGCTGTCGTTTATGCGGCCGGGAAAGCAGCAACATAGGGAAAAAAGGAAGGCTCCGTCCTGAACAGTGTACAGTCTAAACCAGGGGCTCTCAACCTTTTTGAGCTTGTGGATGCCTTTGGAATTTTGACACAGGGTAGGGGGCTGAGGAACAAAATGGCTGCTATGGGAGTTGGAGGCACACACACACACACACGCATACACAGAGGAAGACCAAGTACTGAGGGGAAGAGGGGTCATTTTGAAAATAACCATGGGAAAGAGGAGTGAGAGAATAAAACCAGCAGTATGGTACCACAACTTTATTTTAATGACAGAAGAGAAGCCATGTTGGATTAGGCCAATGGCCCATCCAGTCCAACACTCTGTGTCACACAGTGGCCAAAACCCAGGGGCCGTCAGGAGGTCCACCAGCGGGGCCAGAACTCCAGAAGCCCTCCCACTGTTGCCCCACCCCCTCAAGCACCAAGAAGACAGAGCATCACTGCCTCAGACATAAGAATGTAAGAGAAGAGCTGCTGCATAAATCAGTTTGCCCTGGAGCCATCCTTCCTGAGCTAAGACAAAAATCTGTGAGCTGTAGGCTAAAAAAACTGTGAGCTGGCTCACACTAACTCAGCTTAGGGGGAACACTTCTCGTAATATTTTATGTATTTATTTATAAATTCAATTTATAGCCCGCCCTCCCCACAACGCGGGCTCAGGGCGGCTCACAATCAGGCATAAGCCAGCGCATAAAACACATTTAAAACCATTTAAAAACCATTTCTGCAACATTACGACATTATTATTAAGTGCTCTGGATGTTCCGAATAGATCTTCCATAAAGATGACGTATAATGCTGTTATATTCACTCAGTGCCATCTGTTCCGCTTGGCGCTGTTGTTCTTTCTTCCAGGGCCAGATGATGATAGTACAGTAGTGGCGGCTCCTACTCAAACGCCTGGCGGAAGAGCTCCGTCTTGCAGGCCCTGCGGAACTGTGCAAGGTCTTGCAGGGCCCAGGTCTCCTCCGGAAGCTCGTTCCACCAGGTAGGAGCCGCCACCGAGAAGGCTCTGGCCCTGGTAGCAGCCAGCCTGGCCTCCTTGGGACCCAGCATCGCCAGGAGATGTTGCGTCCCCGACCGTAGTGCCCGTGGGGGAACATATGAGGAAAGGCGGTCCCTTAGGTATGCTGGACCCCGGCCATTTAGGGCTTTAAAGGTAAGAACTAGCACTTTGAAGCAAATCCGGTACGCTATGTTGGAACGACCGCGTCCTCTTAAAAACGCGCCTCCTTTCCCTTTACTGAAGCAGCAAACCCTGTATTGCATTGCAAAGCCAAGCGGAGGCTAAGTTTAAAACCCCTCTCCTTTTCTGTCCCGGAGCCTACAGTTTGTATTTTATGGGTTGAATGGAAATTGCAAAAGGAGACTGATTCTAAGGAAGACTTGCATGCGTGGCTAGTGTTTGTGATTTATTGTTGTTACTAGGAGAGAGACAACCTGTTATAACTGGTCAAGAGACTTTTGGAGGGGTGGAATGTGGTGATGCAAGTTTGACGTAGGGGAACTGCGGGTGGGTCTATCCCATGGGCTTGGCCCGCTGGCTCTCAGACTTTTTGAAGCGGGGCCACTTCTCACACTGGGGAAGTGAGCGGTGATTTACGAAAGCTCACACACCCTGCCCCAAGTTTTGCTAGTCTTTAACGTGCTGCTGGACTCTCTTGCTCTTTGGTTTCTGAAGAAATGAGCCACGACTCACCAAAGCTGCTACAAATTTTTGTTAGTCTTGAAGGTGCTGCTGGACTCTTGCTCTTTTCTACTGCTACAAACAGATTAACTGGGCTACCCATCTTGATCCCACTTCTAACCAGGGGTCATTTCGTAGAAAAAGGTGCAGGAGCTCATTAGCGTAACTCATTAGCGTAACTTATTTGTATATGCCACACACCCTGACATCACTGGAAGTGTGCCAGAAGGCAACACCCACCGCTCAGGCTCCACTGGACTGTTTTGGATTGCTAGCTATTGGGGGGGACATGCAGATCTGCCCTCGCAGTGGAGGGAGAGCTTGTACCTGAACAAAACTGGGTCTTAAAGGTGCCACTGGACTGTTTTGGATTGCTATCTCTGCAACTTACCTGGCTGCTTCTTGCTCCTCGTGGCCTGGGGCTGCTGGGAGCAGGGGGTGGGGCTTGTTGCATGTGCCCGCCCCCTGGGCTCTTTACTGCCAGAGCTCCGCTCCTGTGCGCTCCTGCAGGAAATGACCCCCTGCTTCTAACACGGTTATCTTTCTTTAAAACCCAACTCTTGCTTGGGAAATACCTGGAGATTTTGGGTATGGAGCCTGGGGAGGGCGTGGTTTGGAGACAGGAGGGACCTCAGCTGGGTACAATGCCATAGAGTCCTCCTTCCAGAGCGGCCTTTTTCCTCAGGGGGGGCTGATCTCTGTCTTCTGGAGGTCAGTTGTAATCCCGGGAGATCTCCAGGCTCCATCTGGACACTGGACATCCTAGGAAGGGGCTGTGTCCGGCGCCCCTCAAAACCTGAAGGAGGTGACCACAGTCCCGGTGGTGGGGGGGAAGGAAACATGTGATCTTTGCCTCATTTCATGTCTTCCTGGGCATCCAGCTCTGAATGTTCGAGGTGGAGCGGGGGGGCCCAGGGCTCTTTTTGTAGCAGGAACTCCTTTGCCTATCAGGCGACACGCCCCTAATGCAGCCAATCCTCCAAGATTTTACAGAGCTCTTCTTACAGGGGCTACTGTAAGCTCTTGGAGGATTGGCTACATTAGGGGGGTGTCACCTAATATGCAAAGGAATTCCTGCTACAAAAAGAGCCCTGAGTGGGGCAAATTATGGGACTCTACTAGGTGGTACTGATTTATGTTGTTTGTTTAGGAAATTTGTATGCCATCTCTCCAGAGGGGAGCTCACAGATGGAAACAAGGCCCAAAGACCAGAGATCTTTGCTTATTTATTTCATTTGTACCCCACCTTTCTCTCCAGCGGGGACCCAAAGCAGGTTACCTTGTGCTCCTCGCCCTCCATTCCATCCCCACAACAACCCTGTGAGGTAGTTCAGGCTGAGAGCGTATGACTGGCCCACGCTCACCCAGTGAGGTTCCGTGGCAGAGCAGGGATTCGAACCCGGGCCTCCCACATCCTAGTCTGACCCTCTAACACAGAGAGCCAGTGTGGCGTAATGGTTAAGAGTGTCGGACTAGTATCTGGGAGGCCCGGGTTCGAATCCCCACTCTTGCCCTGGGGCCGATCGCGCGCTCTCAGCCTGACCTACCTCACAGGGTTGTTGTGATGATAAAACAGAGGAAAGGAGGAGGAAGTAAGGGTTCCCCACTGGGGAGGGAGGCAGGGCATGAATGAATTAAATAAATGAATACAACCACCCCGCCACTTCTTGTCTTCAAGACAAAACAAGCCAAAGTTGCTGACGGACCTTCCGTTCCCCCCCCCCTCGCTCAGGTGCTGCTGTCCAGCTGTTCGCGGTGCCAGGCCTGCAGCTCGTTGGTGTACGACGAAGAGGTGATGGCTGGCTGGAGCTCGGACGACTCCAACCTCAACACCACCTGCCCCTTCTGCGCCCGCCTCTTCGTGCCCTTCCTCAGCATCGAGATCCAGGACTTCCAAGCCCTGCCCAGGTCAGGACCCCGGAAGCTCTGCCTTTCCAGGTGGAGCACCGGATCCGCTGTTGGGGGCGTGCCTTTTGCACGGAGAAGAAGTTATAAAATGGGTTTATTGTCACTACTCTCTGCAGTCACCGTTGCACTGTGCATTCTCTTTGACCGCCAAGCATTGATCAGGGCCTGGCATTTCGCATGGCAAGCCTGTGTGTGGAATTACAAAAGATCTGAGAGTCATTGAGTTTTACTTACGTTATTTATAGTCCGCCTTTTTTGGACTCAAGGTGGATTGCGCAGTGAGTCAATGCAATTGATAAAATGGGGCGTTTAGTAAACAATGCTATGGGATCAGGGTTGTGGAACCAATTGGAAATCTAAAGCAGAACGAAAGCAAAGCATGCCACATTAACTGTTGCAAAAAATTACATCGTAGGATCCTATTTTCTGCAAGCTAAACACGGGAAAAGACAGAAAGGCTAAGAAAAGTTGAAGGCAGCAGGACAAAACGACGACCCAACATGAGCTGAATTGACTCCATTGGGTAGTCGCAGCCCTCTGTCTGCAAGACCTGAACAAGGCAGTTAATGATAGGATGTTTTGGAGTCCTTAATTCATAGGGTCACCATAAGTTGGAAGCAACTTGGTAGCATTTAGCACCAATGTCCCCTCTAAGCTGTGGAGCCTTGCGAGCAAAAAAATCTACTTTGTGAGCGACTGGCATTAAAGTTGTGAGCAAACAATTTGGCTACTGCATAAATCAGTTTGCTCTGGAGCCATCCGTCTTGAGTGAAGACAAAAATGTGTGAGCCGGAGGCTAAAAAAACAGTGAGCCAGCGCACACTAACTCAGCTTAGAGGGAACATTGCTTAGCACTAGGGATGGGCACAAACTGCATTTTTGTGGTTCGTTTCAGTTTGTGGTTCATGGCCGAACCATGAACTGAACCACGAACTGATGCAAACCGGGAGGTTGGTTCACGAACCAAACCGGTTCATATCAGTTCATGACCCCTGCTTTCTGTTCCCCTTGCTTTCCGTGGGGAGCATAAAGCAGAAGTTTAAATGGCTCACAGCCAGTTAACCCCCTGCATTCTGCTCCCTGCCAGAAGTGGCAAGGAGCAGAAAGCAGGGGGTTAACTGGCTGTGAGCCATTTAAACCCCAGCTTTCTGCTCCACACTGCTCAGCTGGGTTTTTTTGTGAAGAGCAAAAAGCAGGGGTTTAAATGGCTGAGAGCCATTTAAATCCCTGCTTTCTGCTCTTCACAAACTGCCATAAACTACTTTAGAACTCATGGAAGTTCATGGTGGCTCTTCAGTTCATGAACTTTGATTCTCAAACCACAGCCAAAATTCATCACAGACTTTTGTTTGTGAGCCAGTTCATGCCCATCCCTACTTAGCGTGTGCGTGCACATGAGAACACACACATACACAGGAACCTAATTTCAGCAAGCGAAACACATTAGTGTATAGACCACAGTCCCTTTGTCAATCACATTTAGTACAGTGCAACTCTATTGCCTGCGTAGACAAGCCAGTTAAAAGCCAGTTAATGCAGAGCCTTGGGGGCATGAATCCTTGCGTGAGGTTTTATTAAGCATGTTTCTAGCCCTCATGTTTGTAAAAGATCCCTTTGGCAAACTTGGCCCAGGGGCAGATGGTAACACCTTCTCCCTTCCGCCCACCTAGCATCACGGACAGCTCTGATACCAGTTCTGTCTCCTCCGACTGGCCACGAGACACCGAAGCACCAGCCCCGGGGGGGCAGGGCCCTGTGCTCAGCGACCGGTACCACTGCCTGTCCCTGGATGAAGCCGAGCCCGAACCTGAGAGGGAATCCAGGGCCGGCTCACTATGCAACGGCTTCGCTGAGCCCCAGGTATGTTGCCCTTCTTGACTGATGGGTCCTTTCTAATAGGGGGGGAAATGGAAACTGCTAGGGGAAGAGTAAAAGAAAATGGGAACTTGCAGTGCCAGCTAGGCAGAGTTTGAGTTTGACCATTCTGTGGCACCAAATCTGACATAAAAAAATCACAGCACTGAAAAACCAGTGGGAGAACATCTTCCCGGACATTCCGTTGCCGACCTAAGAGCAGCAGTCCTCAAACAGAGACGCTTCAAGGGGAGAGTGCAGTGTGAGACTGCTGAGCCTGACTTCATTCACAAGTTCATAACAATGGACTCCCCAGGGCTGACTAGGGACAGAGGATTCTTGTCTCACCCGAGATGCTAATTTTTCTGCCCCTAAGCATTTCCTCCCCTGCTCCAACCAAGCATTTTTTAATACCTTTGCATCCTGGGGTTTTTTCTCCACAACACCCCTCTCACCTTTTGAGTGGAATACAAGGACTGAAGGGTCTCCATTCCTACTTGTATCTGATGAAGGGATCCTTGACTCTCAAAAGTTCATCCCCCCAAATATTTGCGGTTCTCTAAGGTTCTGCTCGACTCAGATCTAGCCAGGGCTTTTTTGTAGAAAGAGCCCAGCAGGAACTCATTAGCATAATAGGCCAAACCCCTGATAGTACAGCGCATTAGCATAATAGGCCGCACCCCCATGTTACCAGAAGTGTGCTCATCCAGCCACACCCACCTTTTGCTTCTTATTCTGTTTACCTTCTTTTGTCAAAACCCAGGGCCTTTTTTTGTAGCAGGAACTCCTTTGCATGTTAGGCCACACACCCCTAATGTAGCCAATCCTAATGAGTTTCTGCTGTTGGGTGTGGCCTGTTATGCTAATGAGTTCCTGCTGGGCGTGGCCAACTCGGGAGCCAGCCGGAACTCCGTTCCTGCCCAAAAATAGCCCTGGATCTAGCTGTTAAAATGCCACGACTCAGTTGCAGAGTACCCAAGGTATAAACGCTGATCCAGGTCTCCTTTTTTTGCACCAGTTTTTTTTTTAAGAACGCAGGAGGGGAAAAGCAGAAAAGGTCACCTTAGGGTGCGGGATCCAGCTCCGTGAGACATTTGGCCTTTTATTTATTCAGGCAAGCAAGTTTGGTTCAGAGGGTAGCCATGTTTGAGAGGTCTGCAGTAGAACGAGATGGGGTAGCCGCGTTAGTCTGTCTGCAGCAGCCGAAAAGAGCGAGAGTCCAGCAGCCCCTTCGAGCAGACATGGGCAAGAGGGAGAACAAGGCCCAAATGTTATTGGTTCCTCCCCTGCCCCCTTTGGAGCTTTCAAAGTCCCCCTTGGGCCCTCTCTGGGCAGTTATGGGTTGGGAGGGAAGCGCCCTGTGCAGTTAAGCGGGGAGGTGAGCAAAAGAGCCAGTTGGGTGTAGTGGTTAAGAGTGGCGGACTCTAATCTGGGAGAACCGGGTTTGATCCCCCACTCCTCCACTTGCACCTGCTGGGTGACCTTGGGTCAGTTACAAGTTCTTTCAGAGCTGTTCTTGAAAAAGAGCTCTCTCAGCCCCACCTCCCTCACAGGGTGTCTGTTGTGGGGAGGGGGAAGGGAAAAGGAGTTTGGAAGCCACTCTGAGACTCCTTCGGGTAGTGAAGGGCGAGGTATAAATCCAATCTCCTCCTCCTCCTCTTCTTCTTCTTCTTCTTCTTCTTCTTCTTCTTCTTCTTCTTCTTCTTCTCCTCCTCCTCCTCCTCCTCCTCCTCCTCCTCTCCTCTCCTCTCCTCTCCTCTCCTCTCTGTCTTTGCCTTGTTTCCTCCAGGCCCCTCGAAGCTCCGCCCCCCGCGTGGAGCACCTGACCTTCGCCTACCTGAGCCCCTTGGTGCTGCGCAAGGAACTGGAGACCCTGCTGGAGAACGAAGGGGGTGACTTCCTGTCCCAGCCGGAGCTGGTGGACAACCACCCCATCATCTACTGGAACTTGGTGTGGTACTTCCAGCGCCTGGGCCTCCCCAGCAGCCTGCCGCAGCTGCTCCTGGCTTCCAAGCACGTCCAGGCGGTGCCCCAGGTACTGCGTCATCTCCCCACCACCACCGCCCCGACAAGGGAAGGGATCTAAGATACCAAAAAAAAAAGGCCTGGACCAGGGGTCATTTCATAGAAAAAGAGGTGAAGGAGCTCATTAGCATAACTCATTAGGTTATTCCACACCCCCTGACATCACTGGAAGTGTGTCAGAAGGCAACACCCACCGCTCAGGCTCCACTGGACTGTTTTGGATTGCTAGCTATTGGGGGGGGGGGGGGCCCCTTACCAGGTTGCCTCTTCAAAAAGGAGGAGGGAGAGCTTGTACCTGAATAAAACTTGGTCTTAAAGCTGCCACTGGACTGTTTTGGATTGCTTTCGTATTGGGGGGGAGTTTCTGCAACTTACCTGGCTGCTTCTTGTTCTTCGTGGCCCAGGGCTGCTGGGAGCAGGGGGCAGGGCTTGTTGCATGTGCCCGCCCCCTGGGCTCTTTACTGCCGGAGCACCGCTCCTGTGCACTCCTGCAGGAAATGACCCCTGCCTGGATCCACCTGTGTAGCTCCGCCTTAAGCTGGTGCCCCAGTGGAATGCACAAATGACACCCACCAAGGGAAGACCATCAACAATTCACAGCTATCTATGATCAGAACTGTATATTACATTCATTAAAGTACAAAGATGGGTTAGTGATATAAACTCGTATACAACAAATCCCTTATAACAATTAAGCATTACTTGCAAAAAAACATGTTCAAAACCAACAGTAGGCTATACTTGTATGCAGTGTTCCCTCTAAGCTGAGTTCGTGTGGAGCTAGCTCACAGTTTTTTAGCCTCCGGCTCACACATTTTTATCTTAGCTCAGGAAGGATGGCTCCAGAGCAAACTAATTTATGCAGCAGCCAAATCGCTCGCTCACAGCTTTAATGCCAGTAGCCCACAGAGTAGAATTTTTGCTCGCAAAAGAGTAAAATTTTTGCTCGCAAGACTCCACAGCTTAGAAGGAGCATTGCTCGTATGCCAAGGGTTCCCTATTGTCTTTGGCATTATCCAGTGGAATGCGCAGCAAAGCCTTGTAGCAGGCCCGAGGAGGGTCTGTTGTGAAGAGCCTTTTCTGAAGCTTATGCTCCTGTCATTTTTGATGACCTTTAATTTCTTAATGTAGGATTCTTTGTGGGGGGTTTTCCCCCCTGGATCTTTTAAAAGATCTGAGTGAATGGCTCTGGCAGAGGTCTTTCACATTTCCTATTCCCTGGTCTTTTTAACTGGAGATGCCGGGGATTGAACCCTGTGCGTTCCTGCCCAAAAATAGCCCTGGGCAAAACTAAATAACAAGCTAAGGTTATAAGCAGTGTTCCCTCTAAGCTGAGTCAGTGTGAGCTAGCTCACAGTTTTTTAGCCTCCGGCTCACAGGTTTTTTGTCTCCGCTCAGGGAGGAGGACTCCAGAGCAAACTGATTCATGCAGGAGCCGGATTGCTCGCTCACAACTTCAATGCCGGTAGCTCGCAAAGTAAAATTTCTGCTCACAAGACTCCACAGTTTAGAGGGAACATAGGTTATAAGGTCAACAGTTGTAAAGCAATACATATGTCAAAATATCAGAAAAATGTCTAAAGATGTCTTTTCTAATTGTGGGAAGTAAACTGATAGTCTCCAGTTCACTTCCCACAATTATATCAGTTTACTTCCCACAATTACAAATGATACCTGCATGCACACAAAAGCTCACATCTTGAATAAAACTTTGTATTTCTTAAAGGTGCTCTGCTGTGAGTCACAGCTAGGGTTGCCAGCTCCAGGCTGGGAAATCCATGGAGATTTGGGGGTGGAGCCTGGGATGGACAGAGAGGGACCTCAGTGGGGTGCAGTGCCACAGAGAGTCCACCCTCCAAAGCATCCATTTTCTCCCGGGGAACTGATCTCTGCAGTCTGGAGATGAGCTGTAATTCCGGGGGATCTCCAGGTCCCACCTGGAGGCTGGCGTCCCTGGTCACAGCCCTTTCTCCGGGATCTGCAGCAGACAGCTCTTTTACAACACCTGCTGCCTGAGCATTTAGCTGGATGTGCCGGGGATAGAACCTGGGACCTTCTGTGTGTTAATCAGATGCGCTTTCCCTGAGCCACGGTCCCTCCCTGTCTGATGGCAGCCAGAATGACTTCCTATCCAAGCGGGTTTGTTGGGAGCAATGTCTGTAATGCCCTGCCTTTTTGACCCGGTCTTGCACCCAATGCTCCCTCTAACCTGTGGAGTCCTGTGAGCAAAAATTCTACTTTGTGAGCCACTGGCATTCAAGTGGTGAGCGAGCGACTTGGCTACTGCATGAATTATTTTGCTCTGGAGCCCCATCCTTCCTGAGCTAAGGCAAAAGAGTGTGAGCCGGAGGCTAAAAAAACCTGTGAGCCGGCTCACACTCACTCAGCTTAGAGGGACCACTGCTTGCCACCAGCCCTTCTCCATTCTTACTTTCCCATTGGCAGGGCTCGAGCCAAGAGGTCAATGTGCGTCTGCTGTGGGATGTCCTGACGCCGGATCCCGACAGCTTCCCCCCGCTCTACGTCCTCTGGAGGTTCCACAGTAAGTGTGGGGGGGGGAGTGGGGGTGCTTTATAATTTGGCCAGGGCTGGTTGGGATGGGGCGCGGTAAAGTGCAAGGCATCTGATAAGAACAGAAGAGAAGCCAATGTTGGATTGGGCCAGTGGCCCATCCAGTCCAACACTCTGTGTCCACACATTGGCTCCAAACCCAGGTGCCATCAGGAGGTCCAGCAGCGGGGCCAGAAGCCCTCCCCACACCAAGCAGCAAGAACGCTACAGAATTTATTTATTTATTTATTTATAAATTCAATTTATAGCCCGCCCTCCCCGCAGACGCGGGCTCAGGGCGGCTTACAACCGGGATCAGCCCGGTTTTGATATTATGGCTAAGAGCCGTTTGTGAGTAACTTCAAAACATATAGGAACAAAGGGAAGTCCAATTTGGAAGATTCGTGATCATGTGGATGCACAGCTGTATGAGGTCTCATGTATGAAAAGGACACCTCAAAACGAATGTTAACTCCGGGGGAGTTCGTCCAGTTTCATCTGCTGACGTCTTCATTTCATCTTGTGACGTCCTTATTTTCTGTAAAACATAAGTGTACAACGGATTGGATTCAATAATGTTGCATTAATACAAATTAGAATTTGCATGATTTGCACTGTTTGCAGTAGTTCTATTGTGTCGGCTCACAAGTAGGGCAGAAGCCAACACGTAAAACACGTTAAAACCATATAAAATCATGACTGCAATATTGCAATATAATAAGTGCTCTAGATGTTCCAGAATGAGCTTCCATAAAGATGACGTCTCAGAGAGGGTACACCCCATCAATGCTGTCAGTTCCACGTGACACTGTCGATCTCTCTTCCCAGGGCCAGAGGCTCATGATGGTCACATAGTGATGGTACAATAGTGGCGGCTCCTACTCGAACACCTGGCAGAAGAGCTCCATCTTGCGGGCCCCGCGGAACTGCGCAAGGTCCCGCAGGGCCCGGATCTCCTCCGGGAGCTCGTTCCACCAGGTAGGAGCCGCCACCAAAAAGGCTCTGGCCCTGGTAGCAGCCAGCCTGGCTTCCTTGGGGCCTGGCATAGTCACGATCATCCCATGCTGGAACAGGCCAGTGGCCCATCCAGACCAACACTCTGTCACACAGTGGCCAAAATCCAGGGGACATCAGGAGGTCCACCAGCGGGGCCAGAACTCCAGAAGCCCTCCCACTGTGCCCCCCCCCCCAAGCACCAAGAAGACAGAGCATCACTGCTGCAGACAGAGAGCTCCATCTATACCTTGTGGCTGATAACCACTCATGGACCTCTGCTTCGTATGTTTACAATCCCCTCTTGAGGCTGTCTGTGCTTGTAGCTGCCACCACTTCCTGCGGCAGTGAATTCCATGTATTAATTACTCTTTGGGTGAAGGAGGACTTTTCTTTGATCTGTTCTAAAACTGCAGCTCATTAACTTCACGGAGTGCCCACAAGTTCTTGTATCATGAGGCATCACAGTATCGGCTGTTTCATTTTCAGTCCCTTTCCTAACCATTCCCAGCATCGAGTTTCTGGCTTTTTCACCACTGCTGCACACTGGGTCGACGTTTTCATTGCACTTTCCACTAAAACCTCAAGATCTCTTTCCATTTCAGTCTCAGCTCGTTTGGTGTAGTGGTTAGGAGCGCGGACTCGAAATCTGGAAGGACCGGGTTTGACTCCCCACTCCTCCACATGCAGCTGCTGGTGTGACCTTGGGCAAGCCATAGTTCTCTCAGAGCTGTCCTTGAAAGAGTTCTCTCAGCCCCGCCTACTTCACAGGGTGTCTGTTGTGGGGAGGGGAAGAGAAAGGAGATTGTAAACTGCTCTGAGACTCCGAGTGAAGGGCGGGGTATAAATCCAATCTCTTCTCTTCTTCTTCTCTTCATACCCGTCAGCATACATTTAAAATAAGGGGAATTTTTTTTGTTCCAGTATATATCCCCTTACACTTAACCCCTGTTGAACTTCATTTGGCATGTTGTTGCCTGCTTACCTGATTTACAGAGATCTTCTTGTAGCTCTTCACAGTCACCCTTGGTTTTCACCGCCCTGGATAATTTCACGTGACCTGCGAACTTCTCCACTACCCTGCTCACACACCCCAGTTCCAGAACCTTTATGAACAAATTAAATAGGCCTGGCTCCAAAACCGATCCTTGCGGGGCTCCGCTGGTTGCTTCCCTCCAGGGGTCATTTCGTAGAAAAAGAGCTAGGGGGACTCATTAGCATAACTCATTAGCATATGCCACACACCCTGACATCAACGGAAGTGTGTCCTCCCCACAGCCGGCGGCAACCTCCAGCGGGCACCAGCAGGGAGCTCCAGGCCCCGCCCTCCCGCACCTCACCCGGGGGGATGGCGTCCCCCCGCGTCCCCCCCCAAATGACCCCTGCTTCCCTCCATTGTGAGAATTGTCCATTTATTCCTCCTTGTTGCTTCCTGAGATTGAACCAACTTTTAAAATAATCCTTTTATTTCATAATACACAATACATGAGACTACATAATACGTAGCATGTAACACAGTATCCATTAGATAAGATTTGGCAATCTAAAGAAGGTACAATATCTTTTCTTTAAAAAACTAGTTCTTTAGAATTTCTATTCCAAGAAGTAATGCAGGGAGACCAGACCTGTGGAGACTTATCTTGTGCACATCTGTCTCCATCCCAGAACTTCCTATACACAGATGTTTTCCCCATTAACATCCTGAGCCATTCCTCAGTATCTGATGCTCTTCTCCTGTCTCCATGCGGCAGCTGTTAATATTCTGGCTCCTGTGAATACATTTTGTATTAAACACATTTAACCAACTTTTAATCCATAAGAGGAGCCAGTGTGGTTAAGTGGTTAAGAGCGGAGACGCTAATCAGGGCTTCTGGTTGGGGGGAAATGGTGATTTGACACACCCTGAAAGTGCTCAGGGTGGACGGTGGTTCCTTATGGCGGTTTGGACAGTTATTCGGTCCAATGCGGCTTCCCCCAGGCAGGGGAAATGACTGGCAGGCATCAAGACCCAAGAGAGAGTTGAGACTGGTGTGATCAAGCCTCGGAGGAGACTTGTGTTACACTTTGATCCCCTCTCCCGAAGCGGGCGTTGCATTCAGCACTTCAGGAGCACACCGGGCTGAGTTATCAGCATAAAATCAACATTTCCCGACTTCATGAATTAAAGGGGATAAAAATGGAACGATGGAGACAGTGTGGAGACACCAGAAATAAACAAGCAAGGTAACAATTACGTTTTTACTCACCGGGAGACAGCCGAAAGCGCATCTAGATTTATGTGGATGAGCGTATATGATCATTAATAACAATTGAGGAAATTTGGACACTAAAAGAGC